AAAACTGCGATAGGTATGCGACCACCCCCCCTGCACGCACACAGCCCAAAACATATGCACGTGCCCCCCCTTGTTGCCCCACAACCTCTCAGGCAAGAGATGTTGCTGCGCGGCACCGGCAAGACCGACCGGTGCCACCGGTCGGACCTTCCCCTCGGGTTAGTACATCGCCACGTGCTGCATGAGACCACCATCGGACGGGAGAAGCTCGGCCGCACCCACACATACTGCAGCTACGGCCCCTCATACCACACCATTACCGAGATCCCCGAGAACAAAGTCGCGATGTGCTCCACCGGCCTGTTCGAGCGGAAGCGACGGGGGAAGACCACCATCCTCACCGCACCACTCGTCGGCGAGCGTGTGCGGCCCAACCAGCCGCGCATAGATGGCGTGCTGGAGGACCAGACCACGCGTCTCGAGCTGCAGTGGACGCCTGAGTCCATCCAGACTGGATGGCACAAGAAGCTGACCAACCTGAGAATCTATGAAAGCCACGGGTACTCCAACGTAAGCCGACACCACTGCACACAGACACGCGCACGGGAATAACGCTCAGACCACGCCTATGGACCAACCCCCCCCCCCTTTCCTTCCCTTCCCCGGACGCAGGTTGAGTTGCCGACGACGAAGAGCACCATGGACTTCGTATACCATGGCAAGATCCCCCACGGCGGCGCTGAGGTGCAGGGCGACCAAGCGGTGGGGCTCGCCCACACCACCGTGCGCCTCACTGTCATCCCCATGGACCACATCACCGACCTAGACGACAAGATAGCGGTGACCATCGGCAGCATCGTCACCATCCAGGGGGGGGAGCGAGATGCCGCCGCTACCACGGGAGGTGTGGACGCACCAGGACGCCCTGCAGATAGCCCTGGGGGCGGTGACGACGGTGTACGGCAGCCACGCATCGCTGCGCTTCCACGACTGGCGCGTCGCCGAGGGGATGGTGGTGCGGCAGGTGTTCACCGTGCGGACCGACCATAGAGGGAACGAGGGGCCGGTGTCGTATAAGACGCCGGAGAAACGGGAGGAGATAGAGCGCAGAAGGCGGGTCACGACCGTGGTGTACAACTTCGTGACCGAGCAGGGCGGGAGTGAGCAGCGGGGGGCCCACATCACCTTCCAGCGGATCGCCATCTTCACGGCCTACGACACACGCCGGGACGAGCCGACGTCAGGGCTGACGGAGGAGCAGGAGCTCAACCCCCTCGCTCACATCGGCCTCATCTAAGGGAGGGCAACGACCATGAGCATCCACTCCGCCCCCACCACCGCCACCCAGACCGGCGCCGAGCCGACCAACAACACCAACCCCGCCCTCGCCACCGCCACCGAGACCGTCACCGAGACCGGCGTTGCGACCGCTGCCGCCGCTGCCACCATCCCCACC